TACATCGGCGCGCAAGCTGTCCCCCGCCACTCGCGCAATGTGAACCTGACTGAATGTCGTGTGACCCTCCCCTCGTGTGGCTTTTGCGCATGACTGTTATACAGCAGCAGCGAGACATCGCAGTCAAGAGTGCACACTTTGGCACAAAAAGGTACAGGGCTCGGTGTTTCGGTCTCACAGATCTCTCGTGTCGTAGAGCGCATTTGACCTCGCAGCAGCAGATCACTAGGAAGATTCGGAGAGGTGCACCAGCTGGTCCTCGATTGTTGCCAGGCATCATGATCGAGAAGCAGACAGCAGGCAATGAATGCAGCGCTGACAGATGCAGCGGAGAGTTTGACAAGAGTTTCGCGCTCGCGATACCGTCAAGCATGCCTAGCTGAGGATGATAGCCAGTCTGCGCAGATTGATGCGGAAGCCACGTTGACAAAACTTTTGCTAATAAGCACAGACTTGCGCTCAATGCGTTCCTCCTCGTGACATATTGAGATCGAGGTCAAGGGTCTACACATTCACCATTGGGCCAATTTGAAGCGTACGTGGGCGGCAGTGCTATGGCCGGTCCAAAGGGCGGGCGCCAAGCCATGCAGGAAAGCTGAAAGAGACGCTGCTCGCCGCCCACATGACTTTGCCCTCGCACAATCACCCTAAGCCTGATTCCTGAAATCCTTGCCAAGACCCGAATAAGAAGATGTTTGCTTCGAAGTCCACATTAGAGAAAGAATCTGCCTGTTCAACAATCATCAGATGTGAGGTGTGCCTCGCGATCAGTCTTGACTCTTCGACGCCTCTCGGATGCGGAAAACGAGCATCGATCGACGTCACTCGGATATGCGCACATACTTTCGTGGACATAAGATGGCAATGAAATGGTGAACAAGAAGCGAGGCGGACAAAGAACGTGTACGATGGGGCAGTCGCAGTATCGAAAGGCGGGACAAGAGACGATGAGATGGGACAGAACTTCGACGTCCTCCTAAGCGAGTGCACCGGGGTCATACAACTCAAAGTCGACTCTCTTTGAGCGCAGGTCCAACGGTTCCCTCGGGTCTTTCCACACCGAGGTCTTTGGCGACGTTTCTAGCAACATATCTGGCGGTGGCCATGGTAGAGATCATTGGGTTGACACCAGTAGCCGAGGGCAGCGCAGCAGAGTCCGCGACAGAGAGATTCTTTGTGCCCCAAACGCGTCCTTCTGGGTCGCAGGCCGAAGTGGCGGGGGTGCCGCCCATGGCGCAAGAGCCCATTTGGTGAGCAGAACCGATGGTCGTCCAGTGGGGCCTCGCGCCGGCCTTTTCGACCTTTTGCCTCCACGCAACGTAGTGCTCGTCGCTGAGGTTGCGAGGCAGCGCGGATGTGGGCGTCGCAGTGGAGGGAATGGTGGTCGTCTCGGGCAGAATGCTCTCAACAGCTGGCTTGCCATGTTGGTAAACGCCAGGCTCAAAGATGGGCACGCCGTGCTGCACGGTGGCAATCGACTTGGCACCAGCCATCATGTGGATGTCGCACGCGCGCAAGATACCCTGAACCATGCTGGCTTGGTCGTGCTTGGAGATGGTGTAGTTCATGCGGGCTTTGCCCTCTGAATCGACAAACACGTTGCCAGGGTCTCGGTCGCGGGTGATGATGATGAGGTTGAAACTGTGGGCGTAATTCAGCATAGCCGTCTTGTGCGCTTCGGGACTTTGGAAGGTAGAGAAGGCTGCTTGAATCGATGGGCTCGACGCGATGACTTCGATTTTGCAGCCCCAGCCTTCGGCATCCACAAGCTCGGCGGCGTTGGAGACCATGGTGAGTAGCGAGCCCTCCCAAGGCTTTATAGGGAAGTCGTACCAGCCAGTAACCACAGTAGTGGGGTGAAGATGCAAGTTTTTACCGATCTGTTTGTTGAATTTGAGCTCGGGGCTTCGCAAAAGCACAGCGGGAGTTGAGATGCTGCCTCCCGAGACAATGACGTGCTTGTTGGCCTTGATAGTCACCTTGCGGCCTTCGCAAGTGGCCAAAGCGCCAATCGCAGTCCTCTTGTCCTTGGGGTCGAAGAGGATACGCTCCACTTCGGTCTTGATCATGAAGGCGGCATTGCCAGTCTCGGCGGCATCGCGTAACCAAGTCACGACGCCTCCCTGCTTGTGACCGCTTACGCAGCCAAGCTGGCACTTGCCGCAGTAGTGGACATGGCCACCAGAATTTTGAGGTACAGCCTCGACTGGTTGACCAGACCGCTGTGCACCAAGGGCGAGAAGCGAATTCGCGAGATTGTGCTTGATGGCGTGGGTAGAGCAGCCCATACGGTTGCAGACAGCGTTGAGGTCCTCGCCAAAGTAAGGTGTGCGGTAGTAAGGCACGCCGTGCTTCTTTGCCCACAGCTCTCGCGCGTAGTGGCGAGGCTTGAGGGAAGCAGACCAGTTCACCGTTGTTCCCCCACCAAATGTGGATCCAGCAAGCACGTTGAGAGAGCCGTCTTCCACAGGCAAAAGACCCTCTCCTTCGTACATCTCTCCGTATCCTTGATCCTCTCTACCCAAGACATCCTTTTGCCTCAAGTAGCCGCCCTTGTCGACGACGAGCACACGCAGGCCTCTCTGAGCGAGGTACTGCGCAGCTACCCCTCCGCCAGAACCTGAACCGATGATGAGCACGTCAGTGTCGATGATGACATCAGTACCAGCTGGTTGAGTGACGACCTTGTCGTTCTCAAACTCGTACTCGTAACGAGGCTTGTCGAGATCCTTGGTCTGCTCAGAATGAGGCTGCCAGTCGTCTGCTTGACTGTCGGCGTACCCTGTCGCCTCCCACGCCGGCTGGTGGAAACGGTAGTATGTGATGAGAGACAGGCCCTTGAAGCCTGCGGCTGCTTTCTGAATAAGCGTGATCGGAGAGGAGAGCCATCCGTACATGATCGCTTCTCGGTCCTTGCGCGGCAGGTTGGGGAAGGCAGTAAGTCTTCCAGTGAGAGCGAATGTACCCGCGCGGGTGCTCAGCACCGTGAGAAGCAGACTGATTTGGTTCAGCGTTGTAATGGACAGGGATGTGCGAGCCTGATGAGCCCACGCGTCTACCAGGTAAGGGTGGTCGATGAAGCCATCCTTGGCGAATGCGGCGACAAGCTCCCTTTGACGGTCAGAGGCGGTAGTGGGCAGCGAGGCAATCACCCGAGCTGCATCCTCGCCCTCGAGATGCGGCACAAAGACGTCTGCGACTGCGGACAGCGTCTGGCACAGCATAAAGACGACGGAGATGAATCAGCATTCAATCGTACGCGCAAGTGATTTGTGCCAGAAGCACGCGAACTTGCGCCTGTTCTGAAGGTTGACATGCAGCTCACCGCCTTTTGTGAATCAGAAAAGATGTCTGAAGCTTTGATGAGCTGCTTCGAGTACGGCATGATGGGCAATGTGTCGTACGTCTAAAATCGATGCTCGGCGAGAAGGTTTACAGCGAGTGGCAAGGATGTCTGTATACCGCTGAAGAGGGAACAGAAATCAACACGATTCAGGACCGTGGTGATGTGTCAGAAGGACGTTGAGTGAACGAAGGATGACCCGGCAAGCTTGTAGGGAGGAGGGGTTGGAGATGCGGAGATGGCTCAGCGAAAGGTGTTTGAAGCCTTGCTTATTCCTGATTCGCTGCATGGTGTGCCCGCACGCACAGGCACCTCCGCAGTCGCCACTGACGACTGGGGGGCGACTAGGCGAGGTCCGAGAAGGCTCGCCGCCTGTTGCTCCTGCATCATGCACTTGCATGCCCAAGCTAGTCACAGTCAGACAGTCTGAGTGTCAGCAGCTTGAGCGCGGGCAGTCGAGCGACATCAA